GACAGATACGTGTCACACAATGATTAATACAAAAGAGTAATCAAAATAAAATTGAACATTAAATAATAAAAAGTTCTACAATAAATTCATTAGATTTTTAGTTTGTACGCGACATTTTCTTCCCACTTTCTTCAGTAGGATATATGAAGTTAAACTAAATCTTTGCAACCGTTAGTCGATCGTCATCCGTGCATCGTGATGGAAAGAATGCGTGAAGGTTGTATTTATAAACACATTTGTAGGATGGAAGGCAAAAGCAGGAAGTGTGTTTTGGTCTAATGCCTCCGACCTTTTCATTACATTTCTAAAATAAATAGGGAAGGGGGGATTCGATATAGCGATAGAGGTGGGTGAGGAGGTCACGCTTTTTGCGTTCCCGCAACACCAAAGAACGACCACCCTAACTGAAAAGAAGAGACGAATTGAGGAGGAAATAAATAAAATTCTTGAAAAAAATTGTTTGAATTCTAGATATCGTTTATCAAATAGTACGAAGAAATTCTGTAAGTTTTGTCACATAAGTTTATTAATTAAAAATCGAATACAACATCTGGAAGAAACGCTTTTGCTTGTGAGTCGAGAGAGAGCTTCCGATAACGTCCCAGGGATTGTCAGCCTCTTAAGGAAGGAGTGCTGCTATCTGAATGCCAAGGCTGCCTGTCTATTTCTACGGCTATATGCGGGACATCTTTTCTTTTCGAAGCAAGTTTATGCTTAAGTATATGATTCCTTGTTTTGTAAATTTGATTAAAAGTTATTTTTCAATACATGTAAAGGATTCAAAAGTTCATGTGAAACTCCACTTTGTTCCAGTTAGGGTTAAAATTTAGAATGCAGAAGTCGGAGGCGCCTAAATAATCTTTCTTAATTGCAGAAACGGTTCAGCTAGTCGTAATTTTGAAATTAACCATAATATTTATCCTTTTTTTTTATCTTCTTTTAAACACAATATTTATCCTTTTTTTATTACATTTAGTAACTCTAGATCGTAAAGAAAGACAAGGCGCTAAATACTAATAAAGGTATTTATATTAGCGTAGTTCAAAAAAATAGATGTTTGAATTTCTGTTGGAGTGGTTTGTTACTCCTCTGATTACTTTAAGTTAACAGAATTAAGTTTCGGTCGTGTGGTGGCAACAGACATTTTCTTTTCAGATTACGTAAGTGACGTTGTCCGTGCATATCATTATGGAATCTGTATATAAGGCATGCATTGTTGTAAGCATGTGTTCATGTCTTGGTTCTTGTCTTGTCTCTTCACTATGCCAAGTCACTGTGTAGTTGTAACCGGTGATGTACCAACATTTTTGTTAAGATGTAATTATGTTTAATATCTTCAGTTGTACGCTGTATCGAGATGGTACTGTATGAAATAAAGAAATGTTTAAATCTTCAAGTTTCTTTATGTGAGTTAACACTTTCACTCACTACTGTGCTACTCCGCTAACGCATCAACAATTTCGAAACGCTTTAGTGTGGAAAAGTTGCAGTTTGTATTAAAAATAAAAACGGAGAATAAAAATATTTAACATTGGTTAATATTTTCTGCTTGCGCATCTTACTTAAAATTAATAAAAACTTGAACAAGCTGTACGTTTTTGTTAATTTTTTTTTTAGTTTAATAAGATTTTTGAAATAAACACGCTTTAGTTTGTTTTTTTTCATGCTTGTTTGATAGTTCGAATAACCTAAATAAGTCAAATTCTGATCAATTATTTAAATGTAAGTTTGCGCTGCGTTTACGGGAAGAAAAAAAACACAAGTTTACCAATTTTTCGTAATTTTCACAGTGTAACCCTTCGAAAGATCAGAGCTACCTTAAAAATCAGCACATGAAGAGTTTTACCTTCCCAACAAACAATCCAATTTTTGATGGAGTATTTACAGAAAGATTTTCAATAGAGAAGGATTCTTTTGGTTTTCTGCATTGCTAAAATATCCTTTTTATATCTAGAGTTTCATTTTTTGGAGAGTAAAGAATCAAGTGTTGCGCATCGACAACTTCCTGCTCACTTGTTTTATTTTAAGCCTCTGTCACAAGTTTGATACGCCTTTTCACAGACTGATAGAGAATATTTCTGTAATGTCATCTTCACTTGCAGCATTGGAGGGAAGGATATATCACACAACAATTCTAATGAATGATTTTAAAGTAAAACCGGTGGTTTAAAATTCATTTTCCTTTATACGAAATTTCAAACGGTATTTTTCATTGAGGTGGTTTGTCTTGTTTTAAAATATTGTTGTACAACATGAGGACTGGGTTGGCAACAGTCAGCCGTCTGGAATGTGACATAGGTCATGATTTGTCAATCCTTCTGGACAATGCCCTAATGAGGTGATTGCATTTAATATGCGCAGCAGATATCGCGGGTTGACAGGAATCTGTTGAGCTTTTAAATCATTGATAGGAATTCTTGTGTGGAATATCATCTCCTAATATAATGTAAAAATAACGTCGGAAAATCGGATGGTGGGTTGTGTAGGTGGAACTCAATCTTCTTGTGAGTGTGTTGTTCTCTTTCATAACTATGAGCGACGTGAAAATTACAAAAAATTGACAAATTTATGTTTTTTCCAAGAGGGTGCTCAAAAATAAAAAATTAAATTATTGACCAGAATTTAATTTATTTAGTAGATTCAAACAACCATAAAATACTAAAGCGAGTTTATTTAAACAAAAATTTAGAAAGCGGGGGAAAATTTAAAAACAGGCGCAATATTTTTTAGTTTTGATTAATTTTAAGTACCATGCGCAATTATCTGATTTAAAAAATTCTTATGCCATTTTTATTTTTATTACAATCGAGAACTTTTTTGCACTAAAGCGTTCCGAAAATGCAAATTTTTTTCCAACTCAATTTAATCTCCAAAATTAGCCATCTTTACAAAAAAAGGGAATTGTATCACACAAAAATTTGCATAGCATATAAGAAACCCAAAATATACAAAGTTCTTAGTTTTATCATTAAAAATAAATCTTTTTTTTCAACTAGAAATAATTAAACTTAAAATTATTTCCTCCATTAAATTCTCACATTCTATAAATCGGTTTTAAAATGAGTTAATTTTTGAATTTTAAAATCTTTAGTGGCTTAAAAATATCGGTATTTTAAAAACTAAGTCAAAACGTCTCTAAAAACGAAAAGTAATTGTAATAAATGAAGATAAAGCGATCGGCAGTTTTTATGACGCAGAGGTCGCCAGTCGATCACGTCAAAAAGTCGTACCTCAGATTTGAAATTCGCGTCTAATAACGTATTGAATATGTCGGATTTTAAAAAAGATGACGTGAAAAGGGCCAAAAAAGTTATAAAAAGCTACCGAAAAATCTATTATCCAACGTTTTCAAATTACGATGGAATCGTTAGGAATCGAACGTGTCAAAAAGTGAAAACTCAGATTCAATTGTAATAACATCGTATTAAAATTATGGGAATTTGAATAACTATGTGAAAGGGATAAAAAATTATAAATAACTTCTGAAAAAACTTTTAAAAGACTTGAAATAACGATGAAGTCGTCATGAATTAAAACGCGTCCAAAAACGATAACTTAAGTTTAAAATTCGCGCATCGTAACAACAGAGTATTAACAACATCGCAATTTAAAAAAAAAAAAAAGAAAGAAACTAACTTAAGACTAAAAAAAACAACAACAAAAACACAATGAAACAGAAACGTCGTAAAGTACTAAAAACGTTAAAATAAATGTTATTTATATACTGGTAGGATACCTTTTGCTCAAAATGCACATTTATTTTTCGTGTGAGTCTTATTTATGTGTGAGTTTCATTTATTTTATTTCTTTGTTTTTAATTTCTACGACTCATGGGGGAAATTTTCAAAAAAGTTATAAAATAAATAAAACAAACTCATAAATTTGTGTTTTATTATAAAACTGAATGCTTGTCTATCCAGCATGATATCCTAAATTGTTTACAAGATTGCATTGTAATAAACAATAATACATTGCCTTCAAAAACTTAAGATGCCACATGTTGTCTGCTTCTAATTTGAAAATGAATAAAATTAAAGAGAAATATATTAGAAGTAAATGTGTACTAAATAATTCCCTCGTTATAAACACACATAAATTTACATAAATTCAAACGTAAACATAATTTGCAAGAGGAACAAAAAATCAAACTTGGTAGAAAAGTACCTTAGTATCAGAGTAAAGAGTACTTAGTATCATTATAGTAGTAGTAAATTGGTTGGTTACAGTGAGTGATCGAAGTGGGTGGTTGCTGACTTCAACCGGTGAATGTTGACCATCACCTAGTCGCCTTGGTCCGAAATATTCAAGTGCCACTGCTCGGTATACCCTACATCAATGTTTTCTTATGGTCAAGTGCCCAGTATGCATTTAACCGAACACTGATGTTTCTTCTAATCTATCCTCACCAGATATTAAAATATCAAATAAATATAATAATATCAACGAATAAATTAATATCAAATCGGATATAATAAAAATTTCGGGCATTCAACGATGCGACTATATGATGGTTGACATTCACCGGTGAAAATCGACATTCTCTTGATTTCGATCATTCACGGTATATATAATTCCAACTATAATTTTTTTCTTCTGACAAGCTTTAATTTTTACTCAAAACTAGTACAAACAGCACAAATAACAATTTATAAACTACTGTTCACTGTCACCTTATGGCGATCAGAAATTGGCTTGAGTTTGTGTATAGAATATCTATCAGTTTTGATAACATGTACACCCACGTAAAATAATTCAATAGATTCAGAGAGCAAGCATCTTTTTGCAGAAAATCAGCCCCTATTTTAGATAATGTTTTAGGGATTCACAAGGGAGGATCATCTTGCTTACACTAATGATACTCTTACCTATTGTTGAGATTGTACAAAAGATCTGTCTCCCTTATCAATTATAACCTAGAAAAGTATTTTTTTTTTCTTTGAAAATCTATAGATTCTAAGTATTTGTTTGAAGTACTAATCAAGCATTCTCTCTTCTTTCAGTCATGACATTCAGGGATTTTGCTTTCTTCGGGCTGCTGCTGTCCATTGTAAGTATATTCCTTGAATATTTGCACTAAAACTAATTCTTAAGTTCTGAAATTTTTCTTACTATTTCACGTTTCCATTTTTTGAATTTATTTATTCATTTTTTGCAAAGACAGTGACGACATTTCGTCACTGAATCAACTATTGAATGTCAATTATGCATTTCACCGTTCATTCAAAAAAATCCTTAATCCTCTAAAATATTTGTTAATAAAATGTTCCCAAGACTGATTTCAGTCCTCAGGACTGAAGAATGGCACCCATGATTATTAGGCAACTTATTCTGTTATGTTTCCTTGTAAGCTAACTATTGTTTGAGGCTTTGTTTAAAGCGTAGTTGCCTAAATCAGCGGTTCCCATTTATTTTCGAACCCTAAATAGTTAACCTTTTCTAGGAGGAACTTTACAAATAAAGTCTTCTTATTAAAGTAATTGTAAACTTTATAACCTATAAAAAAACTATTTTTAAAATATTTAATTAGAGAAATGAAGATTTTTATTTTAATCTTAAATTAGGTCCGACAGTCCTTATGCCATATCCAGTCTTGTTATGAATTGGTTTTTCGTGTATATGCATTAGCTGAAAATGAACAAAATAAGCCTGATTATTATATACTTCGAGATGAAAAAACTAAAAGTGTTGCTATAAAGGTTGAAAATGGTTATTAAGGAAAGATATTTCTTTATTAAAGAATTTAATTATTTTATTTTGATTTTAAAAAAACGATAGGAAATGCAATATTTTATAAATGCTTATTCTTTTCATAATTTAGTAAGGCATTAAATAGCTCAAAAATAACAAAGCAAATAAGTAGATTGAAATGTATTCAAAATATTTGTGTAAGGCTTCTATTTAGAGTGCTCTTTTTGAGGATACTGTTGCAGTCAGAATGTACTAAAGATGATTTAGTTAGAGCTGCTCAGGGGATAGAGCCTCCGCCTTCCAATGAGGTGAACCGGGTTCGACCTCTCTATGTAACGGAAATGCGGGTTAGTTCCACCAAAAAGTCCTCCACGAAGGCAAATTTCTCCCGATACTTGATCCAGGACTTCCCTTGACTTCTGGATTGGGTTAAAAATGACAAGGCAACGGTGTTGAACATTAGTAGTCGTAAGCCCAAATTTGGGTCGGCTGTTCAACGGCGGATAATTAATCTTTTAGAGTTGGAAGTTAAATTTCAAAACAAAAACCCTAATTGTTAAATTTCTTTTTACTCATAAATATATCAGTTGGGATCCTTTTTAAAAACGCTAAATTTTCTTCCTTGATCTGTCTTTTCATGACGCTAACAAAAGTGGAATTTCCGAACCAAGAAAAGACACTACTGACTAAAAATAAAATCTTTTGCGAAAAGTCATGTGCTGTCGATAACAATTTTGATGTCAATAGAGGTAACCTCTAAGAACGACCACCCTCCATCAACGACCATTTTACTGTGAAACGGAGAATGGTTGTTACTTCAGAGAGGTTTCACTGTATTTCGGTGTATTGAATTAAATTGACAGCAGAAAACCTCAATGTAGAGGTGAAATAATCGGAAAGAAGCAGTAAATTTAATGAATGAGAATTATTTCCCTTATTCCCAGAAAGGAAAAGAAATTATCAAAAGTATCTAAGTCTGTTGGCATCTAAGTTATCAAAAAATTATTGGATAGTAATGTGATTTGACGAACCGACCTGTTCCAGCACCTTCTATGTTAAATGCTTCAATCGAACCAATTTCTCCATTTTTAAAACCTTTGAAAAAAAGTGGGTGGATCCCAAAAAAATGCAGTTTTAACCAACAGCACATATAAAAGTCGCGTTTGAACTTTGTAGCAAGCAACATGATGTTCCATGAACATATTATAAATTTATAATAACTCTGTCACTACACTTGCAACAGTTCTAAAATTAATTATCGCATTTTTTTTATCACACATTTATTATTAAACAATTGTTTTGGATTATACATGATCTACATAAATACTCAACATTTTTGAGACTATGTCCCTATTTATTATTGGAGCCTATGTTATATTGTATTTGTTCTTGACATATAAAAACTTACAATGAAGTAATGAAGTGTTGTGTTGAAGTGCTTCAATGAAGTGTTAACGATTTGCATCTTTTTTCTTTTTTTTTTTTAAAGCAATGTCTTAACTAGGTCAATAACTAGGAACCATTTCTAATGAATGCTCGATTTTTTTTATTCATAATAAAATACTGCAGAGGATGTGGACCTTTACCCAATACTGCCTTATTTCAGCAATTGATGAGACAAGGATCAGACCAGTGGTCGGAAGTAGTGAGCTACAAGTAGCGAAACTACTGCAGTCGCTACCCTTTCCGTAGTTTGTAGCGTAGTGCGCTACTTTTTAAAAGAAGTAGTGTAGTGAGTAGTGCGATATAAAAAAAAAGATCACTTAATCACAAATATTTGATAATTTACTAGCATTTCTAAAATCACTGTCGAGGAAAGCATAGAGTTTGAAAGTTTAAAGAAATTCGTTAAAAGTGTTTTAGAATTTTAAAAAAAAAACTATATCATGTAAACATGAATTAAAACTTATTATTATCTCCTGATATTTAACCAAGCCAATTTTTTATTCAAAATCATTTTGAATATTGGTGAAAATTAAGTTCTCCAGTTAAGTTAGTCTTCTAAAAGTAGCAAAATAGTGACTACATTCCGAAGGTAGTTTGTAGTTGCTACATTTTAAAAAAAGTAGTTGTATTTAACTACAATTGTAATAAAGTAGTTGTTATTAACTATAGAGAAAATGTTGTTTTTCCGACCACTGGATCAGACATTAAAAAAAAATTAAAAAGAACGAAAGAAAAAAAATCTATGACGACTATCACGTTCCCATCAGACATAATACTTTCTCAAAATTCATTAGAAATGAAAATGGCGCTCATTGGAATCAAAAGTTCTTTAACATGCATAATAACACCTGCCTTTTCCTCCGTCATCAGAGTCTTTAAACGGAAGCCGAAGTTGAGTCATGTTCCTAAATTATACACAAAGCATCTGCCTCATTTGAATATGTCTTGTTTTTTACTGTTATCAACTCTTTAAATGAGAAGCCATTGAATGAACTTGATTAGAATAAATATGACACAGTCAATGCTGAAATTAAGGTTCTTGAACATTGTTGTTCGTCGTATCAACCATCATTTTATTTTATTTAAGCCCAGCACTTTTTTACATAATATTTCAAAAATAAAAATTTTCAATTTAATATTTTCATATTTTAAATAAAGATAACATTCTTATATCTTATTATTTTTATAATCACTACATATGCGAAAAATGTAATTTTTTATACTGAAATTCGTACACAAGGCAGTTTGTGCCCCGGAAAACAGAAAAAAAATGTGTTTATTAGATTGTTTTCGAGAGAAATTAGGAACCTTTGCTACCGAGATTTATTAAAAGTTATTATCTAAGTACCGGGATGTTTTTTATTATCTAATAAAACTGTCGATATGTTTCCTGGCAATCAGGGTGCTTGCAAAAACATGCTGAAAATTACCAGCTTTTTTTTTCTGTTTTCCGAGATACAGACAGCACTTTTGTTGTTTATGAATTATTTGTCAAAAATGCTTCCTTTCAATATAAATACGAAAAAAAAAAATTTTCTTAAGTTACATTTTTTAAGTTAAGTCTTTGTTTCAACGACCTGGTTGTGTGAAAAATGATACCAAATTGCAACAAAAATACGACAGTCATGAAGATTTGTGAAGTCACATGTGACCTCTGCGACATCGATGCGATGATGGTTTTTGAAGGCTTTTTTTCCGCTTTTGGGGACGTCATATTCTGATGTCAACATGAGGAATTAATGTCACATATAACTGTCACAGTGACGTCACCGCGTGACAAGAATGTTACACATTCCCACCTCAGCTTAGTCACACGGTGACGCAAATGTCACAATTTTGTCACATGGTGACTCAGTTGAAACATGAATGCGTCACATCTTCGTCCCTCGGTGATCGTGTTGAGACGTAATTATGTCGCAGTTTCGTAACAATGTGACCATGTAGAGATGTGAATGAGTCGTCGTATGGTGAGGTCATTGCGACAACTGAATGTCTCATGTTGACATCTAGGAGACGTTACCAAAAGCGGACATAGTAACTTTCAAAAACCGTCGCATTTACGTCACAGAGGTCACATGTGATGTCACAAATGAGTCTCCGTGACTGTCGCATTTTTGTTGAAATCTGGTAACGGTGTTATTTGGGGGACAGTATTTTGATCGATTATCGAATAATCGGCTGAGAATAAGTCATTCAATTTAAGCCTTGATTTTGTTGATGTATTCATACAATTTTTACTGAAAAAAAACATTGCTAGCAAATTTAATTTTTTTAAACTTAACAAAAATAATATCCGGGCTTTAAGTATTGAAATATATTATAAAAAAAAAAGCTTTGAATGATTTCATATAATCCATTCTCACTTTAAGTGATATTCATTAATTTATGAGTTTTAGTTGGTGGGTGTTTAGTTATCTGTAATAATATATTTGTCTTCAAAAGATGCTTTTATGAGTAATAATTTGAACAGCTTTATTATTTTATTTGTAAATTAAAACATTTTGTACGCTATTATCGAAGAGTATAATTCATTTTTTAAATTTATTATTAAAATGAAAGAACACGTACAGCATTATATGTTAAGCTGTCTGACTCATGAAGCAATGTTTTTTTTTCTTCACTATTTTAAAATTCTATTAGAAAAGAAATACATTTATCGAAAATATGTCCCTATTTCTCCTAGAGTGAAAGGGATTCATTTTTAATTTAATTTAATTGAAATTATAAGTACCACTCATTCCTTATATTTTTCATGTACAGTGAGCCAAAAATAAGGAACACCCTGAATAACTTTTGATCTAATGATCGGATCTTTACGTTCTCGAACTCAATCTTAATGGCTCAAAAGGATGACCTGAAATATGCCAAATAATCGATGTAAACAATATTTCAAGTTACGAAAACAGACACAAA